CTTTTGCATTGATTCTAGTCAAAATAACTTAGTGGACTGCTTTTCCTAAAACTGATGAAAAATCGACTTTTTATACCTGTCCTACAAATGTTCACATAGTCGTAAAAGCGCATAAAGGCAGGAGATTTTTTGCTAATATCTACTTACTCGTTTGCCTCCAAAGGACGACCACTCGATGAAGCACGCAAGCGGCTGTGCAGCTGCTGGTTGGGCTCGAGAGAGAGAGAGCCCATAAGGCACAACCGAACGAGTGAGTTCCGTATGAACGATCGGTGAGCGCTCCCTAACATTGTATATTCCCGATCGAAAACCGGACAGGGCGACGGGCTCGTGGCCCAGCGGTTAGAGGCGTGGACTTCTAACTGACAGATCGCGAATTCGAGCCTCGGGTGTTCCACACTTCGGGGTTGGGTATGGCTGGCTGACGACGGCTAATAAGCTAGAAATGGCCATTCCAGTCTCCCTTGTCTTTGTCGGTCATGTCATTCTGCCTATGTATTATGCGCCGCCGTGCATCTGCTGGTTGGGCTCGACAGAGAGCCCATAAGGCACAACCGAACGAATGAGTTCCGTAAAATGATCGTTGAGCGTCCCCTACCATTGTATATTCCCGATCGAAACCAATAGGGCAACGGGCATGTGGCCCAGTGGTTAGAGGCGTGGACTTCTAACTAACAGGTTGCGAGTCCGAGCCTCGGGTGCTGCACACTTCGGGGCTGGGTATGACTGACTGACGACGGCTAATAAGTCAGAAATGGCCATTTCAGTCTTCCTTGCCATTGTCGGTAATGACATTCTGTCAACATGAATAATTCCCGAATGCGTCTTTTAACCATACCAGATGTTAAGCACGTTACTCCACTTAATGGACCCAAAACAACCACGAAAACAAGTTTACATCTATTTTTTACGGAAAGCAACATATGGCGTTACAAATCGTTCACAATAAATGCAAACACTCACAGTACTCAAAAAGTAATGTTTCTGCGTGAGAAGAAAACATGTGACTAGGATCATTCTGAGAGACAAGGTAGCATATACCTGTATTACTTAGTCTACGATAAGCTTCTTACTGGCGGGACTGCCTCGACAAAGGTTAATCGAACATTGCCGCCTTTAGAATAAAAAGAAACATAGTCAAGTGGATAAGACCTGCTAAGGGAATTTCAGAGCCCCCAAAAATACCTCTGATCCGAATCACGGGGGAATTTTCAGCATTTTAACATTGCCTAGTTCGGTTGGTCAGTCATTCAGCTTGTACTGATGTTGCTTGCTCAAGGTTTAGAAAGCATGAAAACTACTTTTAACTGTTCGTCTGCATTTGCCGACAGTTGAACACAACTCGTGGAAACATGAGAGCCCACTTTATGGAGAATGTGAGCAAGGCGTTGGCAGTTCTCAAGGAGCGAAACATTCATTTGGAGAATATTGGCGCTAGCGATATCGTCGATGGAAATGCCAATCTCATTCTTGGACTCATCTGGACCATTATGCTGCATTTTCAGGTAAGCCAACCTTTAAAACTATTGTCCATTGTCTTAATAGAAAGGTCTTTAGTGAAGAATGAGGGCAGTGAGTAATCGGCAATTAGGCCTATCTTGAAGGCTGAATTTTGATCGGACACACTTGGGGGACATTCTGAGTCACGCAAACGTGTTTTCATGAGATAATTTTTTCCTAGCGTCCAATATTTAGGCGACACTTTTAGTGAGATTGAAACAAAGCCTGCCAATAGTAGTAAGTAAATGACGTTACGCAGGTTTACGGATGGCTTTTCACAGCGATTTTGACGCAATTTTCTACAGACTGAGTTAAGTATAATTTTTCTTAAAGCGCTTATCACAGGACACGCAAAAATCTCAGTTCAGTTCGGTGAAGAGTATTTACAAGTGTTTTCAGATACACCGTACACTTTTAGCAGCAGATGGTTAAATTTAATTTGTTTACTTTACAAAATTAGCCGGTAAAGTCAATGGAAGCAGTCAGGCAATGCCTTCAGCACGAATAGGTTTATTTGCACCAAGATGAAGTTGCGCATTGATTATCGTGCATCAAATAAATTATCCTCATGGACAGCAAATTGATGCCTGCGAGAGGAAACTAGAGTAAGGTCGACTCATTGACAGCGTCGCCTCGTTACCTAGCGCATATTACTCACCATTCACCACTGGACACGTTTTAAATTCATTACAGTGTTATAAAAACCGTAGCTGCTAACTGACGGGATAGATCGGTCGTCTAAGGACGAAAAGGTTGCAATGTTTCGTTTTTTATGCGGTCCACATGGCATTCCTACTCAGATGGGACTCGAGTCGAGCGCTTCTTGTTTTAGGGAAAACTCAGTATACTATTAGCTGGGCAGACGTGTGTAGCTCGCGCAGACTAACTGCTTGGTCCTTCCCTGGTCTTCTTTATTCTCTATTGAGACCAGGCCCGGTAGGCTTAGGGACGAGAGAGATAGTACGATTAATAAGGTGCGAGTTTATTATCACTATAAGATAATTAGCGCGAAGTCACCGTCCCTACGCCCAGCCGGTGGACATATTCGTTCGCGACGGCTGAACTCTAAGCCTGCAATATAATATTGAGGTACAGTAGGTGGGCTAGCCCATGAAATGTCCCTCGAAATTCCGAAATGCGTCTATTTTTCGAAGAGATTAATTAAGTAGGGTTGTGAAAGTAGTCAGCCCGTAACCTGATTCTATAATATTTCAGTTACCATAGGATGTCGGCTTTCGGATGAACTTCTTTTTGGCTGTATACAGGAACGACACTCTGCAAAAGATGACCACTTAGGTAGCATGCGATTTTCTTGTTGATTTTTGATGCCCCAAAAAGTCCAATTATATTTCATGGAAAGCATGCGTAAAAATATTAATTCTTTTGCTCATTCAGTAGAAAAATACGTCTTATTTTAAGCTCATACTCGAAGGAAGGACAAAAATCGGTTTTAAAAACCTTTCCATCTCCCGAATACTTTTAAACCCGATCAACCGTTACACATTGATTCAGGGTTTACAAACTACAAGCCGTATATTTTTCGCGTACGGAAAACCACGCATTTCTCTACGGTAATAAAGGGGGAATATTTAGGGTTCATAAAATTTAGCAGTGGATTTGATCCATAATGTTAACTTTACAATCCACATTGGTAAATGCAGAGGCATGACGATTTAGGAACGGCCAGTTTACGGCATTTAAAAGTTTCACAAATTTAAACTTTTTTAAAACCAAATTATGTCCCCCTTTCGAGCATAATGTTAAAAGAAGACGTGCTTTTCTACCGAATGAGCAAAAGGATGAATATTTTCATGCATGTTTTCCATGAAATATAATTGGACTTTTAAGGACATCGAAAATCAATGAGAAAAAATCCTGTCACTTAAGAAGGCATTTTTACAGAGCGTAATTTTCGCAGGCGGCCAGAAGGAAGTTCATTCGAACGCCGGCATCCTGGGGCAACTGAAATATTATAGAATCACGTTGTAGGCTGACTAGTTTTACAAACCTACTTAATTAATCTTTTCAAAACGAAGACGCATTTCGGAAGTTCGGTTGACATTTCGTGAGTTAGTCCACCTAATGTATTTCAGACATGACAGTATGCAGTCCTTTCCGGCTACCCGCAAAGACCATATTCGGTAAAGAGGACAACTAGATAGTAAGTTTTGGGCTGTTGATTTCTGGCTTCTCCACAAATGCAGATGTATTTTTACAAAGTACTATAAACATATGTCCTCTTATGTTCATATGGTGGTCGGATGTGTTTATGTAGCCTCACTTGAAGTAGACAAACTCCCAGTCACCTCTAATACGGGACCGATGGTAAAAGGGGTTTTTACAGTTGGGACCAGGAACGCACAGACGACGAGGCCATCAGTTGGGGCAACCAAACCACATCTTACCCATTTGGTAACAAGCGGCATTTTCTTCACATTTAATATTGGGGGAAGTGTTTTAAATATTTGTAACAATGACCTTTTCGTTAGACCATATGATGTCCATTCAAATAGTATCTCATTTGTCCCTTTATTTATATTCCTTATGAAGCATAACAACAGAGTTCACATCCACTACATACTGAAGGTTTGCTATCTCACGAAATGTCAACCGAAATTGCGAAATGTATTTGCGTTTCGAAAAGATTACTTAAGTAGGGTTTCAAAACTAACTATCAAGCAACATAATTACATAACAATTCAGTTAGCGTGAGATGCCGGTTTTCAAATGAACTTCTTTCCGGCTGCATGCGAAACCCACAATCTGTAAAAAATAACTACTTAAGTAGCATGAATTTTTCGCATTGATTTTTGATGCCCTTAACAACTCAATCATATTTCATGAGAAACATGCACGAAAGTATTCATTCTTTCACTCATTTGGATGAACATTACATCTTCTTCCGACAAAATTCATATTGCCAATAGAAGCAAAGAGATGAGTGCCAAGAAGCAGTCGTGCTAAAAGTGGATACGATTACTGGGGCAAAAGCTCTATTTACCTGATGTTTCTGATTCCTGTCATTCCCATCATCAGCGACGAAAGCAGATACGGGTGGCTCATACACAAAGGGTTGCAGTATTTATAGGATGCAGTCGCCATGCTACCGCATACCTATGAATATTGACGGCTCCCTCCTTCATCAAGGATCGTTGCACTTATTGTGATGACTCTTCGATGGCGGTCATTCGCGTCGTCAATCGCTGCAATTTCATCCGGTGTGTGGTGATTGTCCGACTATCTGACCTGCCGACCCTGGCGTTGGGAACAGTGTTCACCTGTGCGCTCACCGAGTGGCTAATGACTCCGCGTAGGCGAAGCCTCGGCGCCGAGTATGGAAGGGGAGGGTCATTGCATTTGTTAATATTCCTGATCACAAGTGACAGGACAATGAGATATGCGGCGTTCGACTCAATGGCCCAATGACTCAATGACTTAATGACCCAGGATCCAATGCTAGACTCTAAAAACCTGGGCTTGCTATGGGCGACTGATGGTGTCTAACAAGCCGGAAATGACCACGCCAGCTTCCTTCGTCGCTGACGTATATCTCGTTCTGGAAGAGACATCAGTCCGACATAGAACTGTCGGTCCTCCAGTAAACCTTTGGCTTTTTTAAGGCAGCCTGTCCTGTCCAGTACAACTGTGATGCGTTCTTTGTCCGCTGGCACGATGACCAGGTCTTTGTCGGCCTTGAGTTCTCTAAGAGCATCACGTTCGACCTTGGAAAGCACTTCCCGCGGCCTGTGGGCCATCAGGAGAGACGACACTTGGTGTCGGATGAGGCTCTTAGTCTCCTCCGTTGCCTCCGTCTGACTAAGGATTGATTCCACTGCTGCAATCATGTTAACAGGTTTGGCGTCAGCCGTGTTAAATGAAGCTTTGTGCCGTAAAACCTGCATCTGATCCTTCGTCAGCTCCTTTGATGACAGGTTGTGCACCCGTTTGTCGTTTCTGGGCGACGTTGGATTGGGCAGCTTTCGAAATTCGTTCTCCAGTGCTGCGTCGCGTATCATGCTCTGTTCGCGGGCTTGTTCAGCTATCCTCCGCAGGAGCAGATTCGTACCGATCTCACCTATGAACTCGCAGCATCTGGTCTTTTCTTGGTCAAACCTTTGACGGTTCTTACGAAGTCTAGCGTGGCAATCTTGGAGGAGCATTCGGATCATCCGTCTGCCGTGTTTAAATACTGCTCGTCTCGCCAAATCCCAGTTAACCGGTGGCTTGTATGAAACACATATCGGTAACACATTATTGTCGAGACACTTGTGCAGAAACCGGATCTGCGAATACGTAGAGGCCTCCCGAAGGGCGAAGGTTTCCCATCGCCGGGCCGATCGGAGCGCATCGCGCCCAAATAAATTGCCAATAGAAGCGAAGAGCCGAGTCCCAGGAAGTAGTCTTGAAGAAGGAGACACGATCGCCGGGGCAAGAGCTTTATTAGCCTGACGTTTCGGATTCCTACTGGAATCCATCATCAGAGACAAAGAAGCAGAAACGGGTGATTGTTGCACAAGGGGCTGCGGTATTTATAGGATGCAGTAGCCATCCTATCGCATACCTATGAACATTCACAGCTCACTCTTTCATTCGGGATCGTCGCACTTGGTGTGATCATTGCTTGATGGCCGACATTCGTATCGATAATTGCTGCAATTTCATCACGTGCGTTGGATGTTGGCGTGATGATTGCTCGATCATCTGATGCAATGTGTTCTTGACTATCAGCGGTCCGTGAGTGAAGTTGGGAAGTGTCTTAATATTAAATAACCAACTGGGTATGTTCAAACTGCAGATTATCCTCGCCTGGGAGATGGGTACCATCGGCAGTGGTCATTCCAGTCAGTCGAGAGCACTTTAAGCTCACTGAAGTACAGATATGCGCGCAAAATGACCACACGTAGGGATTATCACGGCCGTTATGCCAATATTCCATGCGATATTTTGCAATTTAAGTAATGCATGCTGGATTTGGGTTACTAATTGGCCTTAGAAGGAAGAACGTTTCACGACAAAACGTGGTATTAAAAAATAACATGTCGACCCGAGAACGTTTCTGCACTATCTAGTCCATAACTATAGGTCGGCATCGGCAGATTTCTATAGTACAGTGGTCGACCTATCTCGGAAAATATGGTTCCGGTTAGGAGGCATTACTAGGGTGGTGTCAAACCGTCTAATAACGTACAGTATTATCCTAAGGTATTTTCCTTACGAGAGAATTTTGGTTTTTGGAAAAAATTTCTTTCCGGAAGTCGTGCAAAAATTAGACTCCACAAGGAAGACTGCGTGTGTAGTATAAATGTCTTAATTGGTCTTCAATGCCCTTATAAATTCTTATATATTTCATAAAAAACATTCAAAAAATTGCTAACTGAAATCAATTGATGGCAAATTGGTTATGTTGCAAATGTATATTTGTAAAGGAGTACCTTTTGGTTTGAAAAAACCGTGAATTCCCATACAATTCTGATTCCGACGTGAAGTTGTACTTAAGCTTGGTGTTTCAAAACTCCACTGTATACTTCTGGCGTAAGAAAAGTCGTATATTTCTCCGCCCTAGTGGGAATATCTCATACAGGGGTCATAAAAATGGCGAAGGATCTAAACCATGTTGTATACTTATAAACGACACCAAAAACGGAGAAGTGCATGCTATATAATTGGTTATTTCAAAGTCCTGGTTAATTCTCATGATTAAATTTTTTTAGTACCGAAAGGTGCCGTTACTCCAGGGGTACATTTGGAAAAGATGAAGTTTGTTACGAATTGAGTCCGAAGTAGTATTTTATGAGATCTTCTGTAAAATACGCTTGAAGTACTATGGCAACGAAAATAATTATAAAAAAGTCCTGTGACGTAAGCAGCTATTTTCTCGGAGTGTATTTTTTTCACAGGCCTTTAAAATATTTTAGTAATATGCCTCATAAAAATAAATGTCAGCCTACCGCCTAAGAATATGTTCTTAACCGAAGACAGTTTTCAGGATTTTGCTTAACATGCCATGAAACAGGCTATTTAAACTGTAAATAAGGTCAATGTCTAGCATACATTTTGGTAGTTTAGATCCAAAAAGCTTACTTATTAAAATAGAAAAAGAACCGCAAAAATACTTTCGGTTAACATAACTGCCAAACAGATTAAGTTCCAGTCCAAAAATAAAGGGATTTCTATCGGCGACAGCGGCATTTCATACTTCCATGAGTGATATCTGCTTTCCGCCTTGAAAAAACGGTGTTTGCTTCTTCTTTGGGAGGTGGATTTCTTACTATCCATCACCTCTACAGATAACAGGAGGCGACCTTTCGGTAACCATCATGTAATATGACGCCTTAATGCGTTTGATAAGCACTCTTTAAAAAGGCCAGAATGTTAGAGCGTAAGACATTGGTGACATTCCTTTTGTTCGATGGCGATATTTCAGTGGTTAAAGTAGTATTCCGATCCCGCAACTTACAAATGATCAGTAGTTTGTCACCGTGGGACTACAGTTATGATCCTTTCCTAAATGCATGATCAAAGCAAGCGTGCATCTGGTATCTCCGCAAAGGGATTTCGCCGGTAGAACACCAAGTCAAATTGAGCTCGTAGGCAAAATGCCTAGTTTGCGTTTGAATTCTATCGCATCTGAATCTGGCCATCTAGTGTAACTAGTTGCATCGGATACGGTTTCCTGGCGTCAAGGATCCCAGTCGACTCGCCCTCAAAGGCGAGACGGAGCAGGGCTTTTCAGTCATCAGCCTGTGTGATAATTGCGCTGGCAATTCGTCAGAGAATCTTCTCTTTGACTAGGCAGCATCGGGATTCGAATGGCCAATTTCCGCTTCCTGTTGCAATCGACGACAATGCTACCTCAATTTCGGGCTGCATAGCAGGGGTTCGAACCGGTGAACTCACGGCCTCACACCATGTCGGTTGTGATCGGGAACATTTGGTCACATGAGGGTAGCGTTAACTAAACTATCGTGATTACAGGGTAAAGATTAGCATTTGCTGCTGGCATTAGAACCGGGAGTCTGTTGCTACATACTCAGGCGGCGGCATGGCGAATGACACTTGGTAATTAAGAATGGAGTTGCTTAGGTAAAAACTAAAAGCTTTTCAATGATCGAATTCAAAAGGAAAACAACGTTTGTTTTCGACAGCGGTTTTGAAAAGGAAAATAAACAAAAAATCAAAATGAACGGAGGCCATCAATTTCACTGTCGGTCGCTCTCTTTGGCTATTTTTTTGTGATTTCGGCATGCGATTTATCCTCTGTGAAGTCAGCAGGTTAAAAGAAAGGCTTTTGCCCCTCATTGCGAAGCATTTAGCCTAAAATGTGACTATTTTAAAACTTGAAGGAGTATCTGAATGGGGTTTCACAAGCCATTTGAATATAACCTGTTTGCTTGTTGCTTAATTGACTGCAATTTGTTGATTTTAGCTGTGTTAACGACGCTTGAAATTAGCCGGGGTGTTTTTGAACGGTTCTTTTGTTCAAAGCTCTCATGCTCCATCACAACTCTAATTTTTCTCAAATAAGTCTTGCTGGCAGCTATACTCGCATATGTTTTTAAAGAAATGGGTTTTTCTAAGAACAGCAATGATTAAAAAACATGGGCGGTTTAGCAGTTAAAAATGTTACCAGGATTTAATCATTATTACTACTGCATATCAGTATCCAGTGAGTTATAACTACTGCGTTCAAAACGCACGATGGATCCATGTCAATAACTGTCAGCTAAAATATTTGCCCGAAGAAAGGTGAAGCAGTAAGTATTGGAAAAGTTTAAACAACAAATTGACGCTTACTTTTTTCAGGAGGCAGTAACGACCGGCGAATCGTTTCAAATTCAGATTGAAAAAGAATTTTCAGGTGAATGTCAGTGGGAGCAAATTAGCCTAGGATTTTGTTCCATACTATTTGGTGGACTGACCAGTAGTAAGCGATATCTTTATTTGAGGGGACGGTTGATGAAGTCAAGCCAAGTTTTTGTTTATCGATATCATGCTTGAATGAAAGTATTGAGGCTCAATTATGAAGGACAATTATGTTCAGAAACCTTACGAAAAATACGTTTCCGATTCCTTTTTTAAAAGGTGTCCCGTATTTAACCGGCCTCCTCAGAAGTAAACAAATTAGAACCATTGCAATACTCCTGAAATGATTACTCAAAAATATTGGAGCATTGTTCAAATATACCATTTATAAAATGACATCAAAACTTAAAGAAGAAAAATCATTTAGATATTCTGGTTGGTGGGACTGGTATATACGGCTACCTAAACAAGACATGAACTGGGGAACCGCCTGCAATACGGGCAACCTTGAGCCAACGTCCAGTGAAAATAGTGTTAGATTTACGTTTACGGTTAGAGATACTGGTTAGCTGAAAGGTTAGATCTAAAGTTAACAGCAGTTTAAGTCAGAACACAAATTGTGGCTCAGGAAGGCACTAGTGTTAACAGTAGACTTAAGATTTATGGTAGGATTAACGCCAAGATTAGGACGACGGTTTAGTTTTATATTAGGGTTATTGTTGGGGTTAAGACGCGGGAATATTTTTTCCTTTCCGGAATTTTGCTCAGATCCACCCATTTTGCTTGGGCATGACGTTCCTACTCCCATGTCTTGTTTAAGGAGCTATATGAGTCAGTCCTGCCTTTTAAGCTTTCTTTGTCGCAGCCTCACTTAATGTTTACATCGACCACACAAGGCATATTAGAAAAAACGTGGAAAATGTAAAACGACCTTATCATAGAGAAAGTGAAGGACATACTTCGTAAACCAGCGCATCGTAACGAAAACTCCCCAATCAGTCAGAAATCAACCAAAATTAATCGGCTAAAATACACAACGTGTAATAATTGACCTTTGGTTAAACGAATACACGAAAGAGATATTTAAAATAATACTTCTCTGACCAGAAATAGCAAATTTATTGAAATCAGAAATACGGGGATTCCAGATATTTTTGTAAAACAGGTTTTTTAATTTTTAGAAGCAACTAAAGGTACGTGCGCAAACATCTATAAAATTTAAGCGATAAAGGCATAATGGCGTAAAAAATGAGTTTAAAAAGCTTTCAAAAATAGTGTTATATTAAGCACGGCTGTTAATTGTCTGTTTTGAGTTCAAAATGTTTCCCCAGATGGCGTTAGGAAAATTCGTTTTGAT